ACCCACCTCCCCCAGTCCATCCCCCACCTGCTTCATTCCCGACAGGGCTCCTGGTGTTGCTTAGCACCCCCTCTTCCTTCCCAGAGGGGATGTTTATTGAAGTTTCCTAGGGACATGCCTGATTGGAAGGCTGGAGGTGGGGGAAGATGGAGGGCCGGGTTTGAGTACCTTGCAGGATACTGTACATATAATGTCACTAGGTTTTTATTACACTCAGCTTCCTGTGGACGCTGCTGCTGAGAGGGGTTGTGACTCGCAGGGTGCCCAGTCCATGAGTGACTCAGAAGACACCTGGATCTGACTCCATCTCATCCTGGACCCCGTGCTGTTTCTCATCGTCCTCACTCTCTCTCTCTTTCTTCTCTCTCCCTCTCCTCTTTCCACCTAAAACAAGGGCGATCGTGATAAAGGTGACCACTTGCTCAGCTCCTCCTGTATGCCGTGGACACTTCTGAATCTTTTTCACTCTCAGCTCATTTCTTGCTTCAACCACCCTTTGAGCCGGGGATGCTTATCTTCCCTACTTTGCAGATGCCATGGAGAGCTTTGGCACACCAGAGGGGACATAGGGACAGTAGCTCAAAAAGAAATCCTAAGATGCAAGTGGGACTGTGTCCAGATTAGAGTAACCTAAGGTCACACCTGGCCATCCTAGGTGGTCTGCTACCATTCTTAACTCACTCAGGGCAAAGAAAAACCTCAGTCCCATTTTAAAGGTGGACACCTCGAGGTGGAGTGTAGGCCACTGCTCAGTTCATCTGGCTCTTGAATTAGGGAGTTCAGAGATGGTAGACTAGGTGAAAATATTTCAAAAAGCTTTGTGTGCTTATTGATGGTGAAAAGGGGTTCTTAACCTGGGGGTGCCCATTGGCCTTTTTGATATATAGAGAACTTCTCCCAAATTTACTTGCCTAATGTATAAGACATGAAAAATTAGTGCCCAGGTGTGGCTTTTCAGAATACAATGCATACAAACATAATTCGGCTGCTTTGCTCATGAGAGACCCTTTTTGCTTATTTTCTCAATGACTCTTCAGGTGGATTCTTTACTCTGTGGCTTAGCTGGCAGGGGACTCTGTATCAACGCACTGATAAACATTATTTTCCGTCTTCTCTCTTTCAGTAAAGAATACCCCGTGGTTCCCAGGAGCACCGTGAGGCAGAAAGTGGCCTCCAACCACAGTCCCTTCAGCAGCGAACCTCGAGCTCTCTCCACCTCGTCCAACTTAGGGTCCCAGTACCAGTGTGAGAATGGGATCTCTGGCCCCTCCCAGGACCTTCTGCCCCCACCCAACCCGTACCCGCTGCCCCAGGAGCACAGCCAAATTTACCATTGCACCAAGAGGAAAGGTGAGCACAAAGCTCCCCCACCTTTGCCCCCTGCCGCCGCTTCCTTCCTTTTGGGGGTTGGGTGGGGTGGGGGCATGCACGCTAACACTGATTGATTAGAAAGGCGCAAGCAACACACAAATACATGGAGATGATCAGAAATTCAGATCATGCAAGTAAAACTAAAGGCTCCCTGGACCTGAGTTTCTCCGTTCTAGCCCTTTCCTTGAAGAAGACGTATTTGGAATGTCCATATCTATTTTATCCACTTACTCAAGCTTACATGCATCACACACACACACACACACACACACACACACACACACACACACATAGATAAATAGTCTTCAAAGGACACTTCCAACACAGGTGACATTAGAGTACATGTATTTTGCAACATCCATTTTTTTTTTTTTAAAAACAAAAACCTTTAGGGTGTGTATGTGTATGTGTTTGGTGCTGGGGTGTGATCCAGGGCCTCGTGCATGATAAGGACCTTCTCTGCCACTAAGCTGTGTCCTGGACCCTAGGTTGTGCTTCAGATACCCTTTTGCGGCCCCAGACCCGCCCATTCTT